ACGACATGAGTTACATCACGTTTTATGGGGCAATTAAGTCCAAACAAAAGGCCTAACAAAATGCACGTTTAAATGATTTGCCCTCATGCAGACACCACGGACACACCTCCACTGGCACACCACCACGGGCACAGACACCACGGGCAAGAGACGCCACGGACACACCACGGGTAGAGTCGCCACGGACACGCCACCACGGACACAGTCACCACGGGCACAGACACCACGGGCAGAGTCACCACGGACACGCCACCACGGGCACAGATACCACGGGCAGAGTCACCACGGACACAGTCACCACGGGCAGAGTCGCCACGGACACGCCACCACGGACACGCCACCACGGACACAGTCACCACGGGCAGAGTCGCCACGGACACGCCACCACGGACACGCCACCACGGACACAGTCACCACGGACACGCCACCACGGGCACAGTCACCACGGGCACAGTCACCACGGGCACAGACACCACGGGCACACACCACTAGCGACGCCACAGCAACAACGGGCTCGGCAAGCAATGTGTTTGGCGTCGGTGAATGAGATATGAGCACCTCTCGCTATTGATGAGGCATACCAATAAGGTTTTGCAGGGTTTCGCGGTTGTTTCGCATCATGCCAAATAATGCTAAATGGTTGGACGACTCGACGAAATATAGTGTGAATTCTCACTTGACTATGTTGCTTTTTGCGATATGACCCATGCTTGTAGGGTCCATCCAAAAGTACTGGCACTGCCGTCGGTAAGGGCAATAGAGTACTCTGAATGCATTGCGTTCGGAAGGTTGTGACCATGTTTCCTTGCTCAGAGGCAAGGGATAGCCCCTGAATTCTATGTTGCTTACGGTGTGGCTGGTCTCTTTGCATCGTTATAGGGGGGGAGTACTTTCAGTATGAGGCAGCAGGTGACCAATTTACCCGGCGTACGGTTGCTAGTTTGCCCATGAATAGTGCCAGCTTCGCCAGGTTGCCTCCCCCATATTCCCATTGGCATGAAAATTGAGTCTAAATGGTCAAATTGTGTTTCCCAGTTTGTACGACGGGGCCCATTATAGTGGTGTGTTGAGCTGCCCATTGGCAGGCTTGGCGTTGCATAAGGAGTACATCTTGGTGTCCCTCCCACTCGACCATGCTCTGCTCAGTACGCCATTGCTCACTTTGCCGAACCTCAAATTGACCAAGTTGTCCTTGAAAGTTTCAGGTGGAATCTCAAACTTGTTGCGCAAGACTGTAATCCCACCTCATGTCGAAGTGTTCAGAAAATCGGATCAAAATCATGCCTCCATCGAATCAATTCCGCGGACTGTCCTCGACGGGGTAAAATTCCTATTGGAGGGATCCGGGGTGGATGCAGGATATATTTCCTCTCACGTTCGAGAAACGTGATCGCGAACGCGATGACCCAGCTATAGCAACAACAAAGTTTCTCGGTGCATCCTTCCAACGCGTGAGCCCCAACGACTAAACCGCCTGGGGTATGCAGCATTTGTGGGGACCAAGGAGAATTTTCTGCCCGAGTCGTTCATACGTAGCTGTGACGACATCTCGACAATATGGAAATTGTGGTGACTCGTCAATCCTGCATTCTAAATCCTCCATCACCAAACCACAGTCGTAATATATCCAACAAAATTACCAAGTGGCATGCGTTGTCGAGGCGAACTAGCATGAAACCATACGACCAACCCGACACTTGAAAAAGTAGCACGGTGTGGTTTGCCGTATCGAGCTCTATTATCGATGAAGTCTGCGAGGGCGTCAAGAGATTTGCCGCCCAGCTCAAGATTAGAACGTCAAGAAGTTGTTTCGCGAAAGCGACGAACGAAAGCTATTCCGCGATCTCACCAATTTACCAATCAGATCTCTGCAACTCTTCAATATCCAATCTAATCGTTAACACTTCGTGGAAACGACATGATTGGCTATACAAAGGCAATGCTATTCAAATACGATTCATCAAAGTATTTTAAGGGCGGGTCTGGATGCCTCAAGTTTTTATTGGCATGTATTATTTGTGAGAGAACTCCCATTTCGAAATAGCGTTTCAGAATGTGAAAGAAGGGAAAAAAATATTTGTCCAAGTTCTCTGGATACCACGCATCTCACCCCACAATTTGTTTGAGAATGTTACTCGGCTGCAATGGTTGATGATGCTGCCTGCCGAATTGTTTCGGAGAAGATTCACGAGCTTCAGAAATGCGGCGTGGGGTTCTTCCGCTGTGTAAATCTGGTGCAGACAGCTCTTCAATGTTGCTCAGTTCGCTGGACGCCTCATCGTCACCGGCATCAACTATGACTTGGCCAACGTACGCGTGATTGCTGTTCGCGATTGAGACTGTGTTCCCTTGACGAGTGTGCCTTCATATTTAGAGGACCACGCAGAGCTTGAAGAGTTGGGAAGGTTTGTACTTTCAACGGGCAATACGGCACTTTTTCCAAGAAGGAAAGCATCCCACGTTGTCGATACACACGACGAGGAACCTCGAGCGCTTCAAACCCATGCCAGATGCATTCGCATGCGCCAGATCAATGAGAACCGCTCCTTGATCGTCGTGTTCTTAACTTCAGTTGAAGCATCGTGAATGAGGTGTCGGGGTTTTCTTTCAGCTTGGCGAGTGTGGCTGTCCAAACTTCATTCTTGAAACCGCTGTTAGAGTGTTTGCCCAAAACATTCGCTTAGTGGATCATCTCGTTGATCCACACGGCGTCGAGGTCATCGCTCCATATCGTCATGATCTTCCCTTGCCCACTTCAAACGGAGAATGTCGAAAGGCAGAACGAGAGACGGGCCATGCTTAACACGCTCGCTACGTGGCAGCGACAAAATGCGATGAAGTTCTCATCAAGCGGCGTGGCCTTCAAGACGTCGAAAACTCCTGGAGCCGGCTGTCACCATCGACGAAGACGTCGCGGTGGCGTGCGTTCAAGAACTTTCGCAACAAGAAGGGGACCTCCATCATCATCAAGTTGATAGCCAAAACGTATTCCATGATGGAGTAAGCCATAGGGGAAGTATTATCCAGTGAAAACCTTGGTAAGGGAGCTTCATTTTTCTTCGAAGTCTGAGAACAGTTACTTTTCCCGAATCCTGGTAATTTGCTGGCTCACTTCATTTTGCATACATTTGTCGAGATGAATTACACTCATGGACAAAACTTCGGGAACGCTCACATTTCATGGCATATCTCACGAAGTATTGAGAGTTGAGAGTTGCTGTTTGAGTATGATGAGCCAATAGCACTGAGGAAGAGTTGGTTATAGCTACCGGCGCGCAAGTCGTCAGCATCGAGAACTTTCTATTCAAATTCTATCAAGTTGTGGACCCAGACAAAATCAAGGAACAGAATTTGCTATACAAAACTCAATAGATTGCTCAATCAATAATCAGTCTTGTCAGCATTGCGTCGAATCGTCTCAAAGCATCGGCGATGCATGGAATCAATGAGATTTTTGACCTCCTCATCTGAGATCATAGTCCAGGCAAGCAGCACAGCGTCGCTCACTCAGAGACGTTCTGGTACTGACGGCCATTGTTGTTGACAAAACGTGACATCGAGGACCAAGCGTTCTCGATCGGGTTGAGATCCGTCGAACGAGCCGTCCACGGCAGTAGATCAATGAACTGTTCGGCACAAACTGCTTCGTCTCCGCAGAGGTATGAATCGGTGCATTGTCTTGTTGAATGACAAAGTCAGATCCATACTGTAGGTGAGCGAACGGCAACATGTATTGTGCTTTTCGCCCAATTTGCCCATTGTTTTATCGCCCTAATCAATGGATGACGAAAATAAAATCACACGTTAAACAACGCCAACCGTGGGTCTGGCCCTCGAGCTAAATAAAGACAGGTCGTTAATTACTGGACCATTTCACTTGCAAACTAGCCGACAACCATGCAGCGTGAACGATTGAGCGTCGCAATGCCGGAGTGCTTCCGGTGTCACACCACTGCCAAGGTAGGCAAGCCACTGGGCAAAAGTAGAACGAGCGTTGGTAAGCCAACCGAGCTCACAGTGGCCACCGATACAACTTTTGGGGTCGTGTCTGCACTGGTCGTCGACACAGTCACGACTGCCGTCGCCAAATACCATGCTGACGCGTCGAACGCGAAGCTAGTGTGGGACCCAGAAGGTCCAAAGGAGGTGTATGTAAGGTTGCCGCCAACATGTACGTTAAACTGACGCTGCTCAACTACAACGACGTTGTGCGGCAAGTGTGGGACAATGCAAGCAAGGTGCGCAATGCCCAAGCATCGTTCACATTGTTGCTGTTCATTTACATCGATAAAATCTCCGTTTATGGGATAATTTCGCAATTTACTTTCCGGTGAATAATGTATTGAAATTCGTGAAATAGAAAAGGATACCAACACTGCGATTCGACGTGTAACTTCCAACAACCTGGTGACTGCGGCAGCCCGAGTTGCGGGTTATATTGAAGACCAGAGTATTGTGCTGGGCCCACTGCAGACCGACTACGCAACTTTTGTGACGGCAAGGTTGCCTACGACCGCCCCTGTGGAAATACCTGCGAACGCAACAATGCACAACTCGGTCATTTTGACCTCATGGCCTCTCGTCATGCAGACGAGAGCCGGCGCGAAATAAATGCCGAAGCCACAGATACATACCGCAGGGTTCGTGTCCGATTTGGCTCGATGTCTAGTGCCCCTGTGAATTGTTTTCTGTCCGTTGAAGATCTTCGCACTATCCTGGGAATTCCTCCATTCGACTTGACGCCATCGTTTCGGGAACCCATTGTTGGCGACGTAGTCCAACCAAGCGACAACATTGAGGACATTGACCACATGAATTTCTCGTAATGTCAAACAAGTTGCGAAAAGTATAACTATGTGTTCAAACGAATTTACATTAAAAATGTATCTTGGTCCAAAGCAGAAGTATCATATCCACAATGGCGATACAAATTATATCCTACTCGCTCGTTTTTTTTGTGCATTCTACAAATGCCACATCTAATACAGAAGGACATTAAAGCGAAATGCCATGGGATACTTGTCAATCCAGCGCTTTAGCAGGCTAAATCCCACCTCAATAGGATTAAGCTGCGGACAATATGGTGGCAAAAGAACAGCATTGCACCTCGACTGTGAACTGAATCTTGCAGCTCCTTGTACTTTTGGATCTTAGCATTGTCCAAAATCAAAATTGAACGCGGGAGCGGCCAAGGGTTTAAATACGGAAGAATCTTTGTGACCATGACCTCGTGAAAGGCAGCACGATCAAATGTTCCTAATCAATTCCAATTAATATAATGGAACTACAAAAATATATACCGTTCACATAATCCCACGCTAAAAATCCAGACGTAGTAATGCCGCTAACGCTGACACCCGCTGGCCACCTGAGAATGGTCATTCTACATTTGCCTTTTTGTTGCGCTTCGACCACGCATACTTGCGAGTTGAATAACGTCCATCCTTGGACGTCTCGTCGACAAAGACTAGACTAGCTGGTCGGGGTACGAGTAATATGGGCTTAATCGCCTGTAGTAATCGCTCAGCTCAAAATCGGCCGACTCTCGAGCTCGTCGTTCGAAGCCCATGAACACACGAATAAATCCTCAAAATATATTCAAGACTCAAATACCTTTTCGCGTCAATCCTAAGTCATGCATGAGAGCTCTACATTTCGTTGCCGCGGATACATTCTTCAGTGTCGGAAATTGATGTCTCAGTGCGTCTTGAAGCTCCTCGATATAGAAGCAGGGGTGCAATGTGGGGTAGTTGCTCACCCAGGCGTTGACCTCGGCTGGCCAGCGTGACCCCGTCGAACGCGACTTTAACTGTGTGACGTTGCCAGTAGATGTGAACATCGTGTTGAATCTTGTTACGCTACGTCTTGAGAGTCCAAGTATGAAGCGAACGATCTCAACTTCAATGCCGTAGACTTGGACAAACACAACACATCTCCAACGCATGTCGATGCTGATCATTGTAAAACAACTTGTTTGCCCATTTGAAATGAGCAAACAAGTTGAATAAGATAAATCCGAGCTCATCCACCAATTCTTGACCAATCACATCATCATGAATATTAATTATTCACCGGTGAACCGTAAAAATGCATCTGCTGTATCCGTAAAATCATGGATGGGTGCCGTAATTTTAGCAGAATCTTCTATTAAGCCATGGATTTAGTCCTGGAATAGCCAAAAAAGTTGAAAAGCACAATACTCGGACAGTGTAAATATATAATCACCTGAATTTTGCTTTCCAGTGAGGATAGCAAGAGCACTTTTGCCGCAACTCGCAATTGCACCTCACACCATAACGGAGCCGCCACCTTGCTGTCGCGTGACAAGCTCCGCTTGGGTTGTCGGATGTCATGCCAGTAGTTTTAGTAACCATCCGGCCCGTCTAAGTTGAACTTCTTTTCGTCCGAAAAGACCACACACGACCAGTCGAAGGAAATTTAGGCGTGATGCATGGACCAACGAGACTGCTTGTGCGCAGGCGTGAGCGGCAAGGTACGTTGCGTTTTGGTGTAGTCGAGCAGATCACATCGCTGCAGGACTCGTCGAGTCGTCCAGACATTGCAAGGTAGTTCGCAGGCCTTGTGTAAGGTTGAGGCGCTTGACCCAGTCTTGCAAGCTTCACGAACCAAACGTCGGATTTGACGCTCGGAGAGAGCAACAGGTCTCCCAGGCTGCTTTTTGCTGCGCCCCTGCTGACGCAGGCAGCGAGAAATCACAGCGACGGACTTGCCAGTAACCGCGCGTATGGCACGGTTCGACCAATTTGCCTCCCGAAGGCCCTTTATGCGGCCACGCATCTCATCGGTAAGTTGTTCTCGACCCATATTGCCGACTGACAGTGATTTCTCACGTGCTATTGGTTCACAAACACTCTTACTATCTTGGATTTTGTATTGCAAATTCTGTTACTTGATTTTGTCTGGGTCCGCAAATTGAACATGTGAATAGAAAGTCTCGATGCTGACGACTTGCGCGCCGGTAGCTATAACCAGCTCTTCCTCAGTGCTATTGGCTCATCATACTCAAACAGCAACTCTCAACACTCAATACTTCGCGAGATATGCCATGGAATGTGAGTGTTCCCTAAGTGCAGTCAACTTGTAGGATGTACTGTAGCCGAATGAAGTGATTACATTTTCCTAAGGGCCTGGTCGGTGAAGGTTTTTGTGCAAGCCTGGCTTGTACAAAACGCATTTGATTGGCGAAACTATCCGTAATCCGAATAACGTCCCTGCCTAATTTCCAATTTTGTGGCTGGGATGGTTCATCTCTGCTTTGTGCAAGCCTGCTGCATGCCCAGTGACAACAGTGCCATGGACGGTGAGGTTGAAGTGAGCGAAACCACCAGCAACCTCGCCCTTGATGGTAATGTGTGCACACTACCGTAGTCA